ATTCCATCCTTTCTCCAGAGTAGCCAAACCCTGCAGCCGTTCTTCATATGTTTTAGTCTCCAGGCCTTTGATCCTCTTCGTTGCTCTTCCCTGGACTTTTAGTGCGAGGGAGCTGGATGTGGTTCGGCATAATTTGTTTGTGTTCTTCTTGTGGTACAATACCTGGGTGCAAAAATCAAGGTTTAGCAAGCGAGAACTTCTGTTGACACTGGCTGTTTGTCCATCCCTCTTGTGAACATTCTTTCTATTTTCCCTATCGTGAAAATCACTGCCTGATTATTTATTTATACTCCGCTTTTATTCTTTCCCCCCCTCAACCACCCTTTGAGGTGGGTTGGGCTGAGATAGAAGAACTGGCTCCAGGTCCCCCAGCCAGCTTTCATGCGTAAAGTGGGACTAGAACTCCCAGTCTCCTGGGGATGGGGCCAAGTGGTTCCCCCAAGCAGCTTTCATATTGTTTTTGCATTGTTTGATCGAAAGTTAAATTGATTTGCTTTGATTTTCAGCTTTTTGCGATTGCCCTTGCTGAAGCCCGTACAGAAGCTAGTTATTAGACTTGGGAACCTTTTGCCTTGGTAATAAAATAGGAAAAATATCCATATTTTGTCAGTCAGGTCTCAATCAGAAATAACTGTCTCGGATTCTATCTACCTGTTGCCTGGAAAAAAAAAACCAGCTGTTTCCCTTCTCAGGGTCTGAATTTCCACCGGGAAATTAATACGCAGATGTTAACCCTTGTGATAATTTAACCCGCTAATCTTCCGAGGGGAATTTCATCAAACCGTGCGTGCCCCGCTTGCCGTTTCCGTTTTGGAAAATGGATGCTCCATGCTTGTCAACTCGGAAGCAAGAACAAAACTCCCATTTAACGGCTGCTTTTCAGTTTTCCCCATCAGAATTTCCTTGCAGGTCACCCAAAGGGCAATTCTGCCAATTGCGCCTTAAGTTTTCTTCCGAATTAAAGTAATTGAGGCCCACTTAGGAGGAACCAAGTGGTTCCCCTGGAAGGCTCTGAGTCTAAACGAGCTTTATATAAATTAATTGGGTCTGGATTTTGCCTAAAAGTCTACTCAGCTTGATTGAGGTTTCCTGTTAAACTCAAAAGGAAAAGTTGTGGCAACACACACACACACACACAATATTAGGTAATAAGTAGGTGAATTTCAGTTTGGTCACATGTTGGTTTGCTAACGTTCTTTTGGATAATTCTAAAGACTATTCAGGTGAAAATAGAAATACTCTCCCAGAAGGAGAAAAAGAAATATTGTTTAGAGCGAAAATATACCTTTCAGGAGAATAGAGCATGGCTGTTGGCGTCTATTTCAGTTCTCCAGCTGCCTTTTGGTTTTAGATTTTTATTTTTATTTTGCCTGTATTGTTTTTGTAACTCAGAGCACGGCACAGACGAATGCTCGCTCCTTCCTTCCTCCTATTTTCTCCACAACAACAACCTTGTGAGGTGGGTTGGGCTGAGAAAGAGGGACCCGGCCCAAAGTCACCCAGCTGGCTTTCATAGCTAAGGCTGGATTAGAATTCACCATCACCTGTTGATTGGCCCAAAGTCACCCAGATCTCTTTTCATGCCTAAGGCAGGACTACAACTCCCGTTCTCCTGGTCGTTGGCCCAAAGTCACCCAGCCGGCTTTCATGGCTAAGGCAGCACTAGAACTCACCCGCTCCCAGTTTCTAACCTGATGCCTTCACCATTGGACCAAACGGGGGAAAATTGGAGGTAGAAGAGGAGTATTCAGTCCGTCCATCCTCTTGAGTTGCTTTGTAAACAAGGGTGGGATAAAAATAAATAAATAAGGGTCCCAGAGAGGTTCTTTTGCACCAGGGTTTCCCTCCCCCCCCAGCCCCCCAGTGACGCTGTCTTCCCTCCCTCAAGGGCCACGGGGGGTGCGGACGCTACCAGCCGCGGATCCGCCGCTCGGGCCTGGAGCTGTACGCCGAGTGGAAGCACGTGAACGAGGACTCGCAAGAGAAGAAAATCCTGCTCAGCCCCGAACGGGTCCACGAGATCTTCAAGCGGATCTCGGACGAGGAATGCTTCATCTTGGGCATGGACCCCAAATACGCCCGGCCGGAGTGGATGATCTGCACCGTGCTCCCCGTCCCTCCCCTCTCCGTCAGGCCGGCCGTCGTCATGCAAGGCTCGGCCAGGAATCAGGTGGCTGCAGGCGGCTCGGGGTGGGGGTGGGAAGGCTCGATTTGAACCCAGACCCCGCACTGGATTCACAGTCGGACACTGTCTTAGCCTCCATCCATGCTTCCGGGGGGGGGGCTCACTCGGGGAAGGGCCACGGCTTGTTATTAGTCTCACTGACCCCCTCCCTCCTTCCCCCTAGGATGACTTGACTCACAAGCTGGCCGACATTGTGAAAATCAACAACCAGTTGCGGCGCAACGAGCAGAACGGGGCGGCCGCTCACGTCATCGCGGAAGACGTCAAGCTGCTCCAGTTCCACGTGGCCACCATGGTGGACAATGAACTGCCCGGGCTGCCCCGCGTAAGTGCCTGAAGAAAGGGTAGGAAGGGCCCTAAGGACATTCCCCCCACCCCCCCCAAAAAAAGCCCTGGCCACCATACTTTATAGAACAGTGCTTCTCAATCACGAACGCTGGAAGACGGCTGGACTTCAGCTCCCAGGATTCCCCAGCCAGCCCTTGGAATTGTAGTCCCAGCATCAAATCAATTTGATTTCATTGAGGGCGCCTTCAGGATTGTCGTTGATCTTGGGGGCCCAAGTGGGCGCAGCTGACTGGGTAGGCCAGCTTGATGTCTCTCACAACATTGGGTGTGTGTGTGTGCCTGTGGTGGCCCAGGTGGGGCTAGGGGATCCATTGTCTCCATCTCACTATCTCCATCTCACGCCCAGGGGTGGGTTGGGGGCAGCCCCACGGACCTAAGGCCAACTACATTCCAGCCCCACCAAGTTGTAGATCAGCGCCTGGCTGGCCTGGGCTGGGGCCGAGGTTCCCGGGGGCCAGTCCTTCGCTGTTTCCAAGGCAGCCCCATGGGCCGGATCTAACCACATCGCGGGCTGGATCCGGCCCATGGGCCTTGAGTTTGATACGCCTGTCCTAGCACATCTGGAAGGCATCCGATAGGGGAGATGCCTAATCGAGCGTTTCTCTATCTCAGCCACTCAAAGATAAGTGGAGCCCAATTCCCAGAATTCCCCAGCCAGCATTCAGCCTGGATGGGACAAGAAGGAAATGGAACTTGGCTACGTTTATCACATTTTCCCCCCATTGGGTAACTTTCTTAATAGACTGTGAGAATGCGGTCGATGTAACATATCTTGACTTCAGCAAAGTGGGAAAAGCCAGCTGTCCGGCGGAATTCTGGGAGTTGAAGTCCACCCGTCTTTAAGGTTGAGAAATACTGCTTTTAGGGCAAAAGGCTGCATCTTGGACTTGCCTTTCCTTCCTCCAGCGTCCGAGGGGGGACGACACACATAATCCCAGCTTACCTGGACAACAGTCTAAACCAGGGTCTCCAATAGCAATAGCAGTTAGACTTATATACCGCTTCATAGGGCTTTCAGCCCTCTCTAAGCGGTTTACAGAGTCAGCATATTGCCCCCAACAACAATCCGGGTCCTCACTTTACCCACCTCGGAAGGATGGAAGGCTGAGTCAACCCTGAAGGGGGCGGTGGATTGAAAAAGTTTGGGAA